ACAGCGGGTTCCGAGTTGAATAGTATCAGAGCTGGAGCGTCGGTGTTTATTCGAACGACATGGCAAAGCAAGCGGAGCCGTTGTATTTAATTCGCTGCACTATGCCACTCAAGATCGAAAGAGCTTATCGTTCCACCGTCTGCAGTACTCGCCGTCGTCAATGCGAAAGGACCCGTAAATCTTACGCAATATCTTTCTCATGCTCGGCGCCATATACCAGCTCGGGCATAATAAATGGCTTATTGCGTGTGGTTTTCGTACGTCGAGAGTGGAGTTTACTCCTGAATACAGATTTTATGAATATCTCGACTCGAGCGGACTAATTTTTCGTAAAATTATTTTCCACCCATCCCAGTATAGGTTCCTAGATTCATTAAAATCTGATCATAAATACGGAGTTTATGAATAACTCGACTCTAGCGCCACCTAGTAGATCGATTTGTCGTATTTCTGATCACACCTGCAGTTGCTAATTTCATCAAAATCGGACCATAAATACATTTTTTTTAATACTTACTACGACTCATGCGCCACCTAGCGGATTAAAATATAGCCTATATGCGTGGCACAGATCCAAGGAATATAAGTGCTGCGGAAATTTTTTATTAAAATCCGTTTATTAGTTTTTTAGCCAAGTTTTAACCAAGAAAACGGAGCTTTTACTCTAAAAAAATTAGTGTCTTTCGACATCTCAACCGAAACTCAATGAAGTTCAAGCGTCTCAAGTGAAAGTACTTATTACATACTTCATTCTACTTTCGTGTGCTGTATTTCGGTCGGTTTTCATACCTCAATCCACACAACAAACATCTGTACAGACATACCCTTTATTTGCAATCAGTAATTTGCTTTCGTCAATTCAATTAAATTTGCTGCTTTATCAACCTACCCCAACTTTTTCGCTTTCAAATATTTACACGCATCTAATTTTGGCTGTGTCGATTGCATCATTTCAATGGAAATCCATGCCGGACTGGGTCAATAATTCATGTGGTGCGAGGCAGAAGCTTTAATAAGCAACACTATACTAATTTATTTGGATAAATATATAGGGATTGTAAATGTAATTAGTGCATCATTAGCGGCTAGCTAAAGTGTAGCGCAACTTGGCTAGAGCTAATAAATGAGCGCCGAAAAATTTATTACATAACACCAAATTGAACGCGCATTTTGTGAAAGTACGACATTGAGATAAGCAGCTGTTTATGTTATATTGTTGAAGTAGTCAAGACTTTTAGGTTTAAAAGGTATTTGTTTACGCATAAATAAATTTACTTAGTTTCCTACAATTAGTCACGTTCACTTCTAAACCAGCTATTAAAATTAATTTAAACGTCTAACTGCAAAAAAAAAAAATGTCAACAAAAAATTAAGTACTAATAATCTCAATAGCTGTCTGCCACGAATGGCGGTCATTGATTTCTTTATGTCCCCTGTCTGCATATTTTTGTACAATTATTTATATTGGCGGCTACACGTTTTAACTTTAGTTTGATGTCTATCAGTTTGAGTACATTTTAGTTTGCCTACTTGTCACTAAAATTGTTTGCCGTCTGCAAAAAAATAAAATAAAACATACATAGATAAAAAATATATAACTCTGTTGTCGTCAGCAAACAAACGGCTGGCTCTTTGTTTGTTTGAGTGCAACAACTAATAGTTAGAGGCCTGTCCGTGCGAATAATTAATTTGACTATGTCACGAAAAAAATTAGTGAACACATGACTACCATTTGACACTTGCGTGGGCGGCTAGCCATTTACACCAATATGTACATACAAGTTTTTCCCTGTTCTTTGTTCGTATAACTTTGCCAACTGCCACTCTCATTTGTGAGTTTTCGCCAATTGTTCACACCATGTATGGGTTCACACCATTCAGCACTGGGAGGGTGGCACACTTAGGCCGCCATGAGACCATTGTGATACCGTATTAGAGGCTTCCGACATACCCGCTTTTCATAGAAATGAAACCAATACGTGGTTCTGGTGAAGAAATTAGTGATGGAACGAATGTCTACGGGTCTTTGCCAATGAGGGACAGATGTCGTTTGACGTTGCTTTGGAAATTATTCCTCGGAGCAAAAGCTGAAACTTTATAGTCTTACACCCAAATTCGTAAAAAAAAAATATTTTGACTGTTTTATAAATCGAAAATTTGTAAGAAAGTGCCACTTTATAGAGCTCTTTAAATCATTTTATGTTTCATGAATAAGGCCATTATTCTTCATTTGAAAAAACTTCAACTGGAGACAAACACAGTGACTCAAAAAGCCGCTTGGTGTTTTTTTTTCAATATTCACCACAACGTTTTTCCAGTAAAATGTTTTTTTTTTTTTTGTATAAGAATATTGTTTGCGCCTTAACCAAGCCCATTAAAATCAACGATTCAAGCTAAAAATAAACAACGTTTTGAAAAATTCAAAAAAACTTCGTCTAATTTTGGAACTTTTTAATATAAATTTTTAGAAAATTTTTGCGTATGCACTTTTATAACGAATGGAATTTTGGTATACCCAACAATGTGCAGCTAAAAATTCCCGCTGATTTTTTTTTTTTAATTTTTTTGCGAACAATTACAACATTTTAATTTTGATGCAAAAATGCATCTAGATGCTCCAGGAACATTTTTGCATTAAAGAGAAAATTTTGAAAAAAAAATTTCGCTTACATCTTTTTGGCGGTTAGGGCTCGATATAAAGATAACGATGACAAATGAAGCGGGAACGAAAAGTTCTATTTGTTTTTAAAACAAAATACAAAACCTACTAAAATGAAAAAAATTTACCTATCACAAACCCAAATGTTTTCTATAAATTTTTGTAATAATTTACCAGAGTGGCAACCCTGCCTCTGTATTTAATTACCTGCACTATGTCCGTAAACTTCATACAGCTGATCGTTCCATCGTATTCGGTGCTCGCCGTCCCCAACGCATAAGGGCCTGTACATCTTCCGCAGAATCTTTCTCTGGAAGCCTCCAAATACTGCGTCATGAGATGTTGTCATTATCCATGCTTCTGCACCGTAGATTTTATGCAAATATAGATATGTTGGTTAGTTGGTGGCAGGTGATCTCTCGAGACTATCCAGGCATAAGAAAATTCTTCCGTCTACCTGACACATTTTTCGACCATAAGTCCCAGACATAATACGGACAGGGTACATGAATTACTTTTTTCAAAATGAAACCACATGCAATGAACTTTATAAAGTTTCAAAAACATACTTTTGCTGTTCTTCCGTCAAGGAATCCATTTTCATGGTCATAAACGCATTCTTTGTAAGTTTATTACAAACAATTTTTAGGTAAAAAAATATAAATATTTTGCTTTGCCGGTCATTTTAAGGGTCTGGTTGATTGGAAAATTACTTCTACCTCAAAACCGATGTTCAAAGTAAAATGTTTACTTTTTTCTTTTTTTTTTTTACCCAAACCAAGCATGCAATGAATTTTGAAAAACAAACTTTAAGTGCATTTTTTTGGCTTTCAGATCCATAGAAATTGATTTATTGCAAATTGATTTCAGGTCAAAAAGAGAAAAAAAAAATGTAAAACCTTCTCAATTTGAACCAACGAAACTATTTATCTGAATTCTGCTTCTCAAAATCTTAAAAAAATTCTCTTATATCTATTTAGCTATCTCTCTTCGTTCTCGAGCTAATTGATTTTGAAAACTGTTTTCCCAAATAGAACGCTGTGCAGCTCGGTTCGATCGCTGGCCCCTTGGAGTGTTAGTACGCACCTCTAACCACTTAGCCATAGCGGCACTCGCCATCTATGAGATATATACTATTTTCAACCTACATAACTCCGTATAAATAAATAATACGACATTTGGCTACCTTAGATAATGCTACTACATACAACTATGGTGGCTAGTCTAGAAAAAAAAAGAATAACAATAAAATAAAACAAATAGCCTATGTACGAAGTTGACCAGCGTAAAAATCGAGCCAACGCAAGCTGTCAGTAATTAGTTTTTCTTTGAATATACATACCTATGTACATATGTACATTAGGATGCATCACCGAAAAAAGTTTTCACTTTCATCAAAATGTTTCCGAAAAATAGTAACATTTACGTCAAGTGGACCTATTTTAAAATACTTCCAAAAATCTCATTATTTTGTTTTCGTTGATAAAATTTTTAAAAGTTTTTTATGTAGACCATTTTAAGCTAAAACTCTGCTATAAGTTGTGTTGATTTTTTCGATTGTTTTTTTTTTTATTGTTATTTATCAATAAAAAACTAGATTTTTGTTGCTATTTTCAATTCGATCCAGCTCACGTACATAAATTTTAATATTTTCTCGCATTGTTTTGGCGGTAATCTTAAACTATTATAGACTAGGTAAATAAGTGCCATGGAAAAACAGTACCGATTTTTTTGTTTGGACAGTGATGCACCTTAATGTTCATATGTTGATTTGTGCAAGTTCATATTTCTACTACAAATTTGCGTTTCTATGCAGTACATATATTTGAAGCTTTTAATTTATTTATGTTCTACTATAAATGTGCCAATGGTTATTTTTTGTTATAGTTTTATGTTCCGTTGTTTCCTTGTACGCACTGGTTGAAACGGTTCAGCGAACAGCTGTCCCAGTATATAAATATGTACATACATATGTACATGCGAGTATGTAAGTACATATGGACACTCTGTGGTCAAATGTTTGACCGGTAATTTGCGCCGGTCTACGTAGATACTTGTTGCTAAGCGGCTAGGCAACGAAACTAATTTTTTCTCCACCACCTTTCGTGGGCATTTTTTTTGTTATATTTTTTTTTACATTTATTTTGCTAGGTATTAGAAAAAAATTCTTTGTGCTTATTTTTATGGCTAAATAAGTTGGTGCGAAATTTTGTCAGAAAGTGAGGGAAATTTATGTATCTACTACATACATTTTAAAATTTATTTTATAGTACATACTATGTTTATACATATAAATGGGTTTAAAGTATAATTAGAAAATTTTATTTTTCTATCGTTCCAGATAAAATCGAAAACGTCATTAAGTGTGATCCAAGTCTGCTGTAAAATTTTCTCTCCTCTCTACTAACGCTTTTTGGGTGTGTACTTAGTATGTATGTATGTACGGCAATTTTCTATGTAAAAAACAAAACACTATTACAAAATAAACATAAAAACGAATTCAATTAGAAGAAAGAGATTGAAAGCAATATTTAAACGCAAAACTACATAGACAATATTAATCTGAAGCAAGTGTGTCTGGTGTTAGAAAAGTGTAGCATAAAAATACTAAAAATTGTTGGTTCAAGCAAATATTTGAACAAATTTTAATACAACTAAAATACGGGGAAAAAATTGTATTTCGTGTAAAATGGCATTTGAAACAAATAATTCGTGCAAAACAATGTAGTTCGCTCTAACAAATTGTAAAGTGTCACCGAAATTTTAGGAAAGAAAGTAAGCAGTTCCTTGCTGTAGCAACTTGAACATCTATGACAGCCCGCAATGCATTTTGACTGCTGAAAATTTTTAAGGTAAGTGAAATTTGATATCAGTTTTAATTATAAGTGCAATTTTATAAAAGCTCGACACGTGAGCTATGTTAAAACGAATAAAAAAACAAAAGACAATCTTGGAAAAGAGGCGCTCCATGGTTTACATTTTTCGATTTGTTCCTATGTATACATTTACATTCATTTCAAAAAAGCTTTTAGATGCACATAAGAAAAGCTCAAAAGTATTGCTGAATAGCTCAAGATAATTTTAGGGACGCTGAAATGCATTTCTACGAAGCTTAAAAGCCCATGAGAAAAGCCCAAAATGAATTTAATAAAGGATGCGTCAGATGAGCTAAAACATATTTCTGAAAAGCTTTAGCGAATTCCATGAATAATAATATACATAATATCAAAGCCCAAACCTTTTTCAGAAAAGCTCGGAAGAAGTTCAAGAAAGCTCAAATATGTTTCAAAAAATTATAAAAGAAATTTCAGAAAAGCTTTAACGAATTTCATGAAAGCATAGCTCAACATATTATACAAAAGCTCAAACATATTTCTTAAAAGCTTAAATATATACAAAACAAAAGAAGGAAAGCTCAAATGAATGTTATAAAAGCTAAATAAGATTCTGAAAATCATAAGTCAATTTCAAAGAAGCTTAAATGAGTTAAATTTATTTCATAAAAGCTCATATCCGTTGCAGAACAAAAACTGAGACGAGTTCCATAAAAGCTCAAATGTATTTCTGGAAAGCTCAAAAGAATTTCTATTAAAACCTCAAATGTATATCAAAAAATTTCAAAAACCGCTCAAGTTATTTTCAAACACGCGCACACTTATTTCAGAAAAGCTTAACTGCTAACACAGCTAAAATACATGTGTATCAGACGGGCTGAAAAATATTTAAAAAAAGTTTAGAATTCAAACATATTTTAGAAAAGCTTAAATGTGTTTCAGAAAGCTCGAGACTATTTCAGAAAAGAGTAAATAATGTAGGAAAGCTTAAATATATATCAGTAAAATTAAAATGCAATTCAGAAAGTTCGAGGCTATTTCAAAAAAGCAAAGAAACCTACAAAAAAAGCTCAAATGTTCATAAGCAAACTCAGATGTAGTTAATAAAAGCTCAAATATAATTCAGAAAAGCTCAAATATATTTCACAGACTCACAAATATATCTAAAAAAAAGAACAATGACAGAAAAAAAAATTTCGTTAGAAAACGCATTCACAGTAATCGTAGATTTGGATAACTTAAATATAAACCTTTACGAACGAAATCCAAATGAATAGAGCTCTAGTACAAATACACCCATTCACCCAATAATATTATGTCTACTTGCATAGAAATAGCTCCCAGCATCTTATTGGCACTTTTAGCAACCAAATTATTGAAATATTTGTACAAGTATGTATATAAGTATGTACTAAGTATTCAAATATCATTGATTAATCTATTTTGTTAGCAAAATATATTCGAAATCTTGAATTATTAGTCGTTTCATTTGTTTGCTCAAAATGCAAATTGGCATGCCTAATTAATTTGGACACATTCCACCAACATTGACACAAACACACATACAACTACAAGTACAGTGAGTATTACAAGTTTTCGTAGCTTTTTAAATAAAATCTGCAATGAAGGTGCTCCACTCTTTCCTGTACGTTTGCGTTCATGCATATTGAACGTAAGTTCTTCTAGGCGATACCCAGCCCGTCTGGACAGCCAATGCGACGTCAGGTCTAGGTTCTCCTAATAGGCTTAGTGTTCTCTTAGAGTTGGGCACGGGCCATACAAATTTAGATATATCCGCCTGCCGCCATGCACCACCTTTGATCCAATTTCTGAAAAAACACTTCTGCATATATAAATAGTTACGCTTGGGGTTGAAATCCGGTTCTTGATCGAGGCCAAAGTGGAACCCTCCTCTGCAGCTAGTTGGAGCTGAATAATTATTGCGTTCAAAAGAGTTCTTTTGAGTCTTTTGAATCAGCTTCCATTTTGTTGTAAAAGACACTAGGGTCATAACGGCTACCTGGCTGTCCCTGCAAATGGCGGCCCTCTTGCCATGACGTAAACCACTACTTTTTAAAAGACATTGATTTAAAGATATTGTATCCAAGCTGTGATATCTAGTTCCCCGACCCAGTTGGCTCCCAGAGGTAGAATAAACACGAAACGCCTGTGGAATTCTATTTCAGGCCGTATGTAATCGGTATACAGTCTAATCTCGGGTGCCAATTGGAAATTATACTGCCATTCTCATCGTTTTTTCTTTCCATATACCCAGTTCTCTGACTGTTACAGCAAATACTGATGCGGTGTTCATCACGTGAAGGTCTATAGGAAATACGTTTGCAATAACATTGAGGGCATCCGTAGACCAAGTTATCATTACCCTGTAGTACAGATGCATGCGGCCCTCCGAACTCAGCCTAGACTTACAATATTAGCCTGCTTTTGTAACGTTGTCCACCATACCATGGAACCAGCGTGAAATTTCTGAATTAGGTCCCATGTCTTCCCAAAAAGCCGCATACAGGAATAAAAGGCAATGCTCGCTTACTTTAATCTTTCTTCTATATTTATTTCCCAATTACGCTTGGGACCCAGCATGACTCACAGATATTTGACTCATTTGGATAATCGTGGACTTTGGCCATTCATATTTGATAATTCAAAGTTAGGGACCTTGTTCATGCCTGTAAATAGCACTAATTCTGTGTTTTCTGGGTTCACTCTAAGACCAAATTTAGCAGCCCACTGGCCCAGCTTTCCTAGAGCTCCATCCAAGTTGTTGATCAGCAGAGGTGGAAGCAACCCGGTTATTTAAACTAATCCACATTTTAACAATCCCGGGATTTTGGTATGCAAAAAATTCTAATCCCGGGAAATGAGAAACAACTTTAACACACTGTAAAAGCTTATCTTTGCAATTGCTACAAGATTTTTCGTTATTACACAGTTCTTGCATAAAATGTTTGAACAAGTACAGAGTTATTCAGGCTGGTTCTGAAATTCACTTCCGAGTGCAAATGGCTCAAGTTCACTTTGAATCCAAATTTTGGTGTTCTGGAACATGGAACAGTGTCCGGTATTGGCTGCCCTAGTAAATAGATATACAATTTGCTCACCAACCAACACGATATACATATGTACATATTATATGTATATGCAATTACATGCATACATACATATTTAAATATTTACGCTATACGCCTTTTCCAAAATACACACACATGTACATATCTACATAGATATTTATTAAGCATTCCTTGGCGCACATTTGCCACGCGTTTAGCGTGAAATTTTGCAATAATCTACCAATTTGTGGCATTAAAAAATCATTTAATTTTGAAATAAAAATAAAATGCATAACACAATTAGGCATAACAACTCACAACGGCAAATGAATGACAAACAAAAAAAAATAGAAATTAACAACCATCAAGCGCATTAAAAACAGATAAATGTTGCTATAAAATTTGCTATATTAGTTTGTTGATGTCGCCGCCGCCAAATGATGTTAATGTGAAATACATACATACATACATATTTTTAAGTAGAAAATTAACAAACGATTTAGGTTTTAGAAAATTGGTTATTAATGATTTGCATATTTCCGTTTTCAACTGCTAATTGATATACATACATATTATACACTCATATGCATATAGGTATACATAAACTTGAATGCAGATTAGTTTATTGGCGTTAAATTTTGAATATAATTTGCCTATTGGCTACCTAAATGCAAAACTACTAGTATATTTGAATATACTAAATATAATAACGCATGTGTGCATATACATAAATATATATTTTGCTTTAATTTGAATCGCAATCAGCGACAACCAAATAATTTGTTAAGCGAAATATGGACATGCAGTCGAATAATTGAAAGCAAACATTTCTGCTGACATGCATGTGCATAGAACAACAACATAAAATATTAAATTAATTAGTTCACAATTTTCATAGAAGCTATACAAAAATAAAAAAAAAATATGGGCAATAATAATACTGAATACAGATAAAACACGTAGGACAGTGCTGGATAAAAACCTATGACTAGTTTAGAAATTTTTAGTTTTTCTATCCACAAATCACAGTACAAAGAAAGGCCCCTAAATGGCAATTTTGAGAAAATAGTACTGGAGCTGGATGGCATCTGGACGGTAACTTAAAATGCTTTGGATGTAATGGCAACGGTCTTTTAATCGGAAGTCTTTGAAATACCAGAAGTGGCAGACTGAATAATTGGCGACTGCATAAAATCTGGACCTGGCTGAATTGCGTTACAAGGTTGAATTACCTTGAACTTATGTGGGTGCCAGACTACGGTTATCTTGAGCTTCCAATTGGACCTGAGCCAATTTAAGGGCCAAGCGTAGCGGGAAATATATATGAAAAACTCATGAGAGCTATTGGTGTGGTATTGACACCTAAAAAAAATAACTAAGTCTTTCCTGAAAAGGCCTGACAGGGTGGTAGCAAAATTCTTTCTCAGACAAAGAAGGAATAATCTACTAGCTCTGATTGCAGGATGTGGACAGCACAGAACATTTGCTCTGCTACTGTCCGGCCTTCACCAGGCTCAGATGGTACATTTTTGGGTCGGATGTATTGAGGATGGACGAGATACGTTCGCTTTTTGGAGACTGGTAAGTTTGCAGAGAAGCAATGGATTCCCAATCCCCCTATATATCCCTTTCCACTAAATCCTGCCTATAGACCTTAAGTACAATCGGCAATACATCCTGAGTGCTTGAAAAAATTGTTTTTGTTTTTTCCGGCCACTCACAATTCCATTCCATTCCAAAGGGTTCAAACTAAAACCATTTCTTTAAACTGAAAATATACACTTCTCTAATAGAGTTAGATATATGGGAATTATCTTTACCGACCAGCTCTCCTGAAACCGGCACCTAGTAAAGCTATTCAAAAGTCGCAAGGCCTCCAACTGCATGAGATCCAAAATTTAATTTACAAAGCCGTTTCCAAATCTGGTGGAAGAAAACTGAAGTGAAATC